AGTCTAGTCTATAGTCTAGTCTATAGTCTGTACTATAGTCTAGTCTATAGTCTGTACTATAGTCTAGTCTATAGTCTGTACTATAGTCTAGTCTATAGTCTGTACTATAGTCTAGTCTATAGTCTGTACTATAGTCTACTCTGTAGTCTGTACTATAGTCTAGTCTATAGTCTGTACTATAGTCTAGTCTATAGTCTGTACTATAGTCTAGTCTATAGTCTGTACTATAGTCTAGTCTATAGTCTGTACTATAGTCTAGTCTATAGTCTGTACTATAGTCTAGTCTATAGTCTGTACTATAGTCTAGTCTATAGTCTGTACTATAGTCTAGTCTATAGTCTGTACTATAGTCTAGTCTATAGTCTGTACTATAGTCTAGTCTATAGTCTGTACTATAGTCTAGTCTATAGTCTGTAGTATAGTCTAGTCTATAGTCTGTACTATAGTCTAGTCTATAGTCTGTACTATAGTCTAGTTTATAGTGTGGACTATAGTCTAGTTTATAGTCTGTACTATAGTCTAGTCTATAGTCTGGACTATAGTCTAGTCTATTGTCTGGACTATAGTCTAGTCTATAGTCTGTACTATAGTTTAGTCTATAGTCTGGACTATAGTCTAGTCTATAGTCTGGACTATAGTCTAGTCTGGACTATGTCTAGTGTATAGTCTGGACTACAGTTTGTAGCCTACTCGCAAGAATAGTTTTTGTTTTTCTAATCTATTTAAAGATTAGAAAATTTTAGCAAATATTTCCCAGATTTCACATTATCCAATATTTCTAATTATTCATCACTTAATTCTTTAACACATCTCTTCAAAATCTTTTTCTCTGTTACAATTGACGAATTAATTAACACTTACAATAATAGAAAATCTAACATTTTCCATGATGGCGAAAATCTTTTTTCTTTAATTAATATTAATTTATAAAATTCTATTTCGTTTTATTAAAATTTTAAAAATTCTTAAAATTTGTTCATCTAAAATTCCTTTATGTTGTTTTGGAAATTAAATCATAAAACACAAATAGCCAACACTCATCATTTGCAATTATTTTAAATAAATATTGAAATTAAAACAACACCAAAATAATCAACAATAAATATATATTTTTGTTTATTTAGCAAATAATTAATTTCCAGGAGCCGTTTCCAGTTCAATACAATTTGTTCGAATAATTTTCTTATTTATTTTAGCCGATTTTTTCCATCTATTTCGCTCTATAGTTTTACCGTTACTGATCTCTTTTGTTGGCCAAAATACCATTTCGATTACCATATTGAAAGTTCGTTGATCGTGTGCTAATCAATTTTCAATTTTATATTGTTTTTGCTTTTTTCATCTGCACTCAAGAATCACTTGTTTTTTATTGTTTATTTACTTACTCTCTATTATTTCTCCAGCATTAAATGTTTGGATGCCAATAGATTGGCGGTTGGCGTGAGAGGCAGAAGATGTAAATAAATTTTTGGAAAAACCAAAATAAGAACTAGCAAGAAAATTATCAATGAAATTGTGTGAAATATTATTACAATTGTGTTTATTTTTAATGATGTGTAAATTTAAAACAAATTTTACTATTAGCCGAAATATTTTCCAAAGAATTTAGGTGAATTTTTAATTGGAATATGCCGGAATATGCACTGCAAAGAATTTTTATATTTTTGTAAACAATTTTTTATTTGTTTTCTACAGGGAATTTAATTAAGACCCTGACTATTTGACCAGAACTTAGTTACCGATTTCGGTTCTAAAATAGTTTGTCTAGACTATAATCTATTCTATGGTCTATTGTATAGTCCAGCCTATAGTTTAGTTTATAGTCTAGTATATAGTCTAGTCTTTAGTCTATAGTCTAGTCTATAGTATAGTCTACTCTATAGTATAGTCTACTCTATAGTATAGTCTACTCTATAGTATAGTCTAGTCTATAGTATAGTCTATAGCCTAGTCTATATTATAGTCTATAGCCTAGTATATAGTATAGTCTAGCCTAGTCTATAGTATAGTCTAGTCTATAGTCTAGTCTACAGTATAGTATAGTCTAGTCTACAGTATAGTATAGTCTAGTCTACAGTATAGTATAGTCTAGTCTATAGTATAGTCTAGTCTATAGTATAGTCTAGTCTATAGTATAGTCTAGACTATAGTATAGTCTAGTCTATAGTATAATCTAGTCTAGTCTATAGTATAATCTAGTCTAGTCTATAGTCTAGTCTATAGTCTAGTCTATAGTCTAGTCTATAGTCTAGACTATAGTCTAGTCTATAGTCTAGTCTATAGTCTAGTTTATAGTCTAGTCTATAGTCTAGTCTATAGTCTAGTCTATAGTCTAGTCTATAGTCTAGTCTATAGTCTAGTCTATAGTCTAGTCTATAGTCTATAGTCTAGTCTATAGTCTAGTCTATAGTCTAGTCTATAGTCTAGTCTATAGTCTAGTCTATAGTCTAGTCTATAGTCTAGTCTATAGTCTAGTCTATAGTCTAGTCTATAGTCTAGTCTATAGTCTAGTCTATAGTCTAGTCTATAGTCTAGTCTATAGTCTAGTCTATAGTCTAGTCTATAGTCTAGTCTATAGTCTAGTCTATAGTCTAGTCTATAGTCTAGTCTATAGTCTAGTCTATAGTCTAGTCTAGTCTAGTCTATAGTCTAGTCTATAGTCTAGTCTATAGTCTAGTCTATAGTCTAGTCTATAGTCTAGTCTATAGTCTAGTCTATAGTCTATAGTCTAGTCTATAGTCTAGTCTATATCTATTCTATAGTCTGGTCTATAGTCTAGTCTATAGTCTAGTCTATAGTCTAGTCTATAGTCTAGTCTATATCTATTCTATAGTCTGGTCTATAGTCTGGTCTGTAATCTAGTCTAGTCTATAGTCTAGTCTATAGTCTAGTCTATAGTCTAGTCTATAGTCTAGTCTATAGTCTAGTCTATAGTCTAGTCTATAGTCTAGTCTATAGTCTAGTCTATAGTCTAGTCTATAGTCTAGTCTATAGTCTAGTCTATAGTCTAGTCTATAGTCTAGTCTATGTCTAGTCTATAGTCTAGTCTATAGTCTAGTCTATAGTCTTGTCTATAGTCTAGTCTATAGTCTAGTCTATAGTCTAGTCTATAGTCTAGTCTATAGTCTAGTCTATAGTCTAGTCTATAGTCTAGTCTATAGTCTAGTCTATAGTCTAGTCTATAGTCTAGTCTATAATCTAGTCCAGTATATTCTATAGTCTAGTGTATACTATTATTTAGTCTATAATCTGGACTATTGTCTTCTCAAAAGCCAGGACTATTGTTTAATTTAACGCCTGGACAACTGTGTAGTCTAAAGCTAGGACCATTATACATATAGTCAGGAATCGGGTCTGTTGGTTTTTCTGATCGATGTGAGCTTGTTTTTGTATGCATATGGACTTTATTTACTTCTGGAATCTTATTCTAGAAGTTACTGATGTTATTAAATATGTATGTATGTTGTACTATGTATGTATCCATTTCTTAAAGAACAATTCAAATATACAAAATTCTTTACATTATAAGCAACAGATGCTCGCTTATGTCATTTAAAATTAGCAGAAAAAAAAGAAGTATGTATTTATACACAATTTTATACAGAATGATTTGTAGTTGTAAAATTTCCCACCCCAAGATATTTTTAAGGGTTGTTGTCATTTTCTCAAGGACTCTAAAAACACGTGGCTTTAAATATGAAATAAATTTCACAATTTTTATAAATCAATGAAAACATAATAAATATGTTAAACTTGATATTAAACATGGAGTTCTTCAGTATTATAAATATTAGTAAAAATAATCATACCTTATTAACAGATGCTGAAGTATAACTTTTAGATTTTATTGGAGGTTGATTTAAAAGCTATAATTTTAGATTTAAAGTTATTATCAAACTTTCAAAGTATTTTCACAATATTATGTCAAATTCAAATAGTCCAGTCTATAGTTCTGTCTATAGTCTATGGCCTAGTATATAGTCTATGGCGTATTCTAATACATTGACTAAACTATAGTCTCTAGTATATAGTGTATACTATAGTATAGTCTGAACTGTAGTCTTTAGTCTATTCTATAGTCGTATCTATTCTATCGTCTAGACTAAACTGTATACTAGTCTACTCTATACATTCACGTGGTATAAAGTCTTGTCTATACTTTAGTATAGTCCACAATCTATAAGTTAGAATATAACCTTATCTATAGCCTAGTTTATAGTCCAGTTTATAGATTAAAGTCTAGTCTATGGTCTAGTTTATAGTCTAGTCTATTGTCTAGAATATGGCCTAGTCCAGTCTATACAGTTTAGTCTATAGTCAAGTCAATAATCTGGTCTATAGTTTAGTCTTATTTATAGTTCCCGCTTTAGTATATAGAGTTTTCAGAAATGTACATACAACATATCTAGTATAGTCTACAATATAGTTTATAGTCTTAACTATATTGTTTAGTGACAAATATTTTACAATAAAAGTATTATTTTCAACAAACAAAATAAGGAAATTTTTTGTTAATAAAGCGTTTGTATACTAAAATAGTTCAGCTCTAAACGTGAGAAAAAGTACTTTTTGAAACTTTCCCACAAAGTTTTTTTAATCTTAAAAATTTATAAAATAAGGTCGAAATTATTTTTGCAAATATACCAAAAAACTTGAATTCTGTTTTCGCGTATACATACATAAATATTTTATGCCAATTATTTTAAAAGAAAAACATGTTTTCCATTGAACATATTAACAAATTCCCTAATGTGAATTTAATCTCCAAAAATTTTCCCATCATTATCAGCAACCGTATTGAGTTGCCGTATTTGTTGTTTGTGTTAAAAACAACCCTGATAAAAACAACTAAACACAGCCAAGAATGAAGCAAACAAAGGAAAAACAAAATAAAATAAGAAACAAAGAATCAATATGCTACAAAAACTTGGTGCATTTTTTGCCAGGCATAATTAAGGCATTTATTTTAAGATATTTCCAAAAACAAGATTTAAAAAAGGTTTCTTAAACTTCAGGTAAAATAATAAAACAAAAAATTCCAAGAAAATTCACAACACACAGACAATATACTGCTTTTAACTATTCAGGTACCTGGCAGTAGTTTGGTCAAGAATACATTGGGGTGGAAAATTGTGACTATAAAAGCGAGGCACAGAATTCAAACGTTAAACAGTCGTTGGCAAATCTTTGTACGGTGAACATCTATCGCAAGTAGCAGCAGTTCCGAATTGCAGTGTTGTAAAGTGTTAATTTGAGAAATATACTCTAACCTAATTGTGAAATTGAGGTTATGTGCTAAAAATAGCTGAAATTCCCCAGAAAAGGTGTGTGTTTTAGTTACAAAAAAGTGTAAATTTAATTATTAAAGAAATTAAACAAGACGCTACAATAATTAATACAAAAATGGTAGCCATTTATAATGTTGAAGATGATTATTACCAAAATCCTAAAACTTTGGGAGATTGGGTTAAGAATTTTCGTTTGAAAAAAATGCAAATGAAGCGTAAATTACGTTCGGGTGGCAATTTACGAGTATGCGCCATTTTGTCGACAGCCCTTATGACGGCCGAATTAGAATTACGACGCAAACAACAAGAACGCTTTCAAAAGTGGTTAGAATTTCAAACTAAAATCAATAAAAATCACGAACTAAAACCTCGTCTGCCTCCGCAACCCCACCAAAGTCCCGTAGGAGATCATATGATACTGGTTTCCAACTACCACCAACAACAGAATGAAGAAGAAAAAAGCTGCAAACAAAGTGAAGAAATAACCAATCTGTGGAAGTGTGAATTAAGTGAATTAGATAACTTTATGCGCAGTATTAGTAGTAGTAATAAAAACCTGGAACCAAGTTCCAAATGCAGTGACAAACAAGACAATAATTATCATCAGCAGCAGGCGATACGAGTGTCTAGTTAGTGTTTAAGTTTATTATAGTATAATTATGTGAAAGAGAGAGACTTTTTAAAGAACAAAAGATTGATTACATTTAAGAAGTAGTGTGATGATTTATAATACTTTTGTAAAAATTTTATTTGTATTTGAAGTATATTACGAAAGTTTTTCCATTTACAGTCCGTTGGGACGACCTTTGTCTATTGTAACCAACACAACCATGTGAAAGAGTGGTGATGTGGGATAAGGAAGTTTTAATAGACCACAATGTGTGCGAGTGTGGAAGTGCAGCGCATTGTAGGTCACTTCTAAAAGGCCATGCAAATAGAACAAAGTGGTGAAGATGCTGAAATAAAGACACTGGGTCTTTCAGCTAAAATGTCAACGACTGGTTGTGGAAAACATGCAAAGATATAATCGGTTTGTAAATTTTTCTTTATTTTTAATTTTAGTATTTGAAATATTAGTGCAAACCTAACGGAAAACTTTAAAACAGAAAGAATTCTAGAAAGTTGTAGATGATTACTCATTTTTCAATTGAAACGAGAAAAAACAAAAAAACAACGACGCCATTTTGTGACTCAGTAAACGAAGACGTTGAAAATATTTCACAACACTACTCACAGACACAGCTGCATGTATACATACAAATTTTAAGTAAACAAATGGCTGAATACAACAACAACAGCTATTTTGTAAATGAGTACGTGCTTAAGAGCATATAAACGTTTCCCAACACTAGTCAAACGGGAAAAACACAAAATAAACAAAGCAATAAATATGGCTGCTGTGTTTTTTTGTTTTTCTTTTCTTTAAAAAGTGAGTAATCATTTGAAATTATTTGTGTTATAGGGAAACTGCTAGTAGATTGAATGTATACTAAAATGACAGAAATATATCTTGATTCATATTGAATTACCTAATGTACATTTTTTTGTTTTGTAATTGTAAGTAAATAGCTAAATGTCTGTGTATAAAATTATATTGAAAGAAAAAAAGAAAAACAAAAAATCTTGAAAATAAATACTCATTGATGGAATGATTTATTAAAAAAAATAAAATTAAACTATGTCTTATTATTTCTCTACCAAACAAAATGAAACCTAAATGAACATTTTATTTTCCAGTGTTTATTGGTGATAACAAAACTTCATCATCCAACTCAGGTAGAAACAATTTCTTGATGTGAGAAGATGTTAAACCACTGCTATTGCAACTGGGTTGCAACACTTAAAACACAAACAAAAGAAAAGCAAGAGTAAATAAAATAAGTCAAGCGCTGAGTGAGTTATAAAAAAAACAACTTTTAATTTAACAACAAAGCACCCGTTTAGTTACTCCTTAACTATCAACAACTACAATACACCACTGCTCCCAAACTTCGTAAGCAAATTCTACACATTTTCAATTTGACATCGTGGCAGCTGTTTAGAGCTGGAGTTAATTTTGCTTATGTACACGTCCTTCACCTTAACACGTTGGCTAACGGAGTTGTGAAAGGGCGCAGTATCTCGAATCATTAATCAACCATTCATCCATCCATGCAACTCTTCTACAATGGATTTCATGAGCAAATTTTTTGGTATTTATGAAATCTACTGTTATAAATCTATGCCTTTTCCCCAATTTTCAGTACATATTAAACTATTATGCTGGATTTCGCTAAATTTTACTTAAATACTACGTTGCTGTTCATTTCTTTACCCTCCCCTTATCAACTACATATTTTTGGAAATTTGTCGTTTGTTTCTACTTCTACTTCTTGTATGGTCTTCGTTAAGCATGGATAAACTTTTTGGCCAGCAAATATCAACATTCGTAAGCGGTTTTATCATATCTTTATCAAATAACTATATAATTTTAGGAAAGAGTCTACACTAAGTCCATGTTCAATTAGTAAAACTAGAGAGTTCTTGCAAAAAAGACCGGAATATAAACTTTTGGACACATATATCATTTGTAATAAACCCTTTAATGCAACTACAGCAATTGTTGCTTTGTGAGGACGACCGGACTACGTTTCGATTGATATTGAGGAGCAGCTTGCTTACAACTACAGCCATTGTTGTTTAAAGCAGCCGGAAGAAACAGGTTTTTTATAATTATAAAACAACAAAATTTTGATTTTTAGCATTATGACTCAGTTGATCGGTGCCTGAGCATAATTTAAGTGAGATATATAACAACAACAAAACCATTTAAACCATACGAAGAAGACCTTTCCAATGCGACCATTGAGATTATGCGTGACTCTAAAAAGTGTAAGACAACTTGCAATTGTTTTTAGCACTAATACGATTTTTACAGACAACGAAACCTTTACGAAATTATGGAGCAAACTTCTCTTGATGATTTTCCTTATAAAAAGCAGGTCCTTAAACCTATTATCACTTTAACATGGCGCTTAACTCAGTTGTTGATTTGGTCCCTGAGCAGCTGTGTTTGGCTTGATCTTAAAAAAAGTGTAAGAAAACAATGAAATTGTTTTTACAACTAATCAAATTTTTACAGACTACGATTTTGAAACTCTCACGGCCTATATAAAAAAAGGTTTCTTTGAAAACTCTTGACATCTTATACTATTGGTTTGGTAAAGCGTTTTGGATTATAAAGTTTCTTCAAGGCAGGTTAACTTTTAAAGGCGAAACTATGTTTGATTTTTAGCATTATGCGACTCAGTTGAACCGTTCCTGGGCATAATTGGAACACTTTTTTTTTAATGGCGGCATTCTTAACAGGCAATTGTAACATTTTTACCAAAAACCCAAAAATTTAATTTGACTTTTAGGATTATGCGACTCAGTTGATCCGTGCCTGAGCCATAATATGTAATAGATGTTTACGAATGGGATAATCCGTTAACTTAAAGCGCACGCAAACAGGCAGGTGTTAAAATTTTTAACAAATTACACACAATTGTTTGATTTTTAGCATTATGGACTCGGTTGTTCAGAACCTGGGCCTCGATTTTGTTTGTCTATTGGTTTCACTTACGCTACAATGGCAGGAATTTACAATATTGGCCGCTAAACATCATTTATACAGCAAAGGCAGGTGCTAAATTTTATAAATCACAAACGAAATTTTTGATTTTTTAGCATTATGGAAACATGAACCGTGCCTCCTGGGCCTTAATTATTTGGTACTTTTAACGTTTAGCTATACAAGTTTGATGTTAACGCTTAAAATGTCTTAGTAGCCGATAAACCCTGGTTTACAAATTAACAGGCAGGTGTTACATTTTACAAATCACAAAACGAAATTCTTGATTTTTAGCATTATGCGACTCAGTTGATCCGTACCTGAGCCATAATTTTGGTTGTTATTTGATGCGACATTGAATAATCACAAGTACCACATTGGATGCAAAACTCGATTCACGAATTAACAGGCAGGTGTAATGATTTATAAATCATAAAACGAAATTTTTGATTTTTAGCATTATGGAAACATTGAACCGTGCCTACTGGGCCTTAATTATATACTTCATTCTTTGGGCCTTCTAAATGTTTAGGACCACCGACTTAATAGCCGATATAACCCTGGTTTACAAGTTAACAGGCAGGTGTTACATTTTACAAATCACAAAACGAAATTCTTGATTTTTAGCATTATGCGACTCAGTTGATCCGTGCCTGAGCCATAATTTTGGTTGTTTTATATGGATGTGCGACACTTTTAAATAGTACCACAATGGACGCCGCAACATCTGATACACGAAATAACAGGCAGGTGTTACATTTTATAAATCACAAAACGATATTCTTGATTTTTAGCATTATGCGACTCAGTTGATCCGTACCTGAGCCATAATATTGTTAGTTGTGTTTATGCATCGCTAAAAGCCTTGGAAGGTTTTCTTTAAGCAACGGTTTTTAACCTATGGAACCCCACCTAATTACTTTCTACTCCAACAAGCGTAAGAAACAATGAAATTGTTTTTTTCAACTAATATAATTTTTACAGACGAACTCCACAATTGTGTAACTACGGCGGCGCAACCGCTTAAAAAGTTCTTTCGAAACACTCTTCAATATACCCCCAGACTCCTTTAGTGATTTGTCCTGTTTTAGCAACAACATTTGTTTCTTCACAAAATCCAGGCGTTTTATACAAGAAGTTCTTTGACACATCTTGTATCTTCAAACTTTAAAGTGTAAGAAAACAATGAAATTGTTTTTACAACTAATACAATTCTTACAGCAACAGTTAAGGGTTACTAAGATAAACAACCATCCTCCCTAGAAATATGATGATGACTTGAAACTTTTTAAACTACACAGTCAAAGCAATGAAGGCGTGTTTTCCTCTTTAACAAAACTTATTCTAATATATTTTAGCTTTATAACTCAGTTGAGGCGGTAGCTGAGTTTATAATTTAAACACCAAGTGGTAGTAATCTTTATAGATTTTAACCCAAAGGATTTGACACACAGACACACACACACAGGTGCTTACTGCTTTTAAACCTGAACTCAATGCCAAATTTTTAACATCGTTTTAGCTCTATGCATAGAAGAAATGCTTATTTATTTGCTGTAAACAAATGTAAGGAATTTGTATATCAACAATTTTGTCTCAATTTAAATGTTATTTGAACAGCGGCAACAGCTAAACTAAATGCTAAACTTAACGACCCCCGCTGGTCGCCTTAATAATTTATGATTATTTTGTGAATTTTTAGACAAATATATAGAAGAGAAATATAACTCTAAAACCCACCCCTTTAATCACTTCTGGCAACTATTTGGATAACTGAAAATACAATAATATTTGGCGTAAGAAAACATGCTTTTGTTTTTCTAATTACATAATTGTATTTTCCAGGCTCTATAAAAATCATTTGAAATCTTAAATCGAAATAGAATTACTCAAGCTGAACTTGTAACAATAAAATAACTGATGTGTTTGACAGTTTGTTCTCTCAAGAACGTAAGATTAAAGTTTGAAATTTTCTTTTAAACTAATACGCTTTTTGCAGAAATATGTTTTGCTGGTTTTGCTTTAAAGATGAAGGAAATTTTGCTGATTTTTTGTCTCCTTATCCTTTAACAAATGCTGTATTGAAACAAGAAAAGAAACAACACCCTACGCTATCTTATTTGTTTGTTCGTTATTTTGTTTACTTTCTACTTTATTTCTTGTGTCTTTTTGCCAGTTTTATTTTGTATATGAATTTCTAGCTCAGAAACTACTACAAAAGCTTCAAATGGAGAGATAAAGAACAAAAGTCTTTTAAGACAGAATAGAAAATATAAAGTAATTTCAGCGCTAGCTGGCAGGCTGACTGGCTAATTATTAACTAAGAATGAAATTCATCACATATACACACTATATATAAATAAAAAATATTAAAAAACCAGTACGCTAAGGGAATCGCTTTTATGATATTTTAACAATATCGTAACCCGTGGTGATGAATTTATTAAAAAAAACAGAAACGAGCATAAAAGATGTTAAAAAAAAAACAAAAGCTAGAAGAAAAAAAAAACGCAGCGTAAGTTTTTCTTAAGGCCAGAGTTTAAGCATCAAAAGTAAGACTACTACTATTACTCTTATATTAATCTAAACTTAATATTTGTATTGCCAACCTCTTGAATTACTATAATTTTTACAGATCAAGAGAGAGTCCCCAAATGTTTTTATAAAAATTTCATAAAAACATACTTTATATCACGCTAACAAGCTGATATAAAGAGACTTGGCGTAATCAATCACAAGCACTCTAAAAATATAGCTAAGGGAATCGCTAATATTTTACTGTGACAATAAACTACTCTGCAGCAGCAAGTATACTAATTAATATGTGTGTCTGATAAGTAATTAATATGCTGAAAGTTTTAAAAAAGCAAATCCCATACTGGCTGTGGGTTTTAAAGTTTGTTAACATATTTATTGTTGTACAATTAAATTAAATTAATTTAACTTTACAGAACAAGAAATTTGAAAAAAACAAAACAGAAAAAAACCTAGCACTATAACTACTAGCAACAACCAACACCACCACCACCACCAACAACAACCCCACCCCATTCTCAAAAAAGAAGCTTAATAATGCTAAGGGAATCGCAAATGTTATTAAATGATTATAATCATGATGAAGATGATGTTGTGTTGAAAACTGGTGGCTCTAATTGTATGTTAACACTTACTACTATTCCAAACTCTTAATTAACAACAAATCAAACTAGAACAAACAAATCTTAAAGACAAGCGTAAGTGTGTTTTAGTAGTAAACTGCTTAAATTAAATTTAAGTTTATTTATAATATACAAGCTAATGAAATAATTGCTAAGGGAATCGCAACAAATTATTTAATCATAAGCATTTAAAGTCAAAGTGTCTGATACGTAACGGTCAATACTTTGGTGCAAACAAATTGAACTTGAACAAAACACTTTAGCTAAGAAATAAGCAAAGTAAAAGTATTATAATATAAAATAAAACTTGGATTACAAGTTCAAAACACTAGCTCTCCATCCATGACATGGTAATGAGTAGCCCAACAAAAATGCAAAATTTGTAACATCTCACACTAAAGCTGCTTAATACCAGGCATTAGTTTTTGAAACAGAATACTTAATTTAAAAGTAAAGTGAAGCTAAAATGTATATAAATTATTATATAAACAAATTGTTTTTGTAATTGTAAAGCTTTTTCTGTAGAACAATTTATAAACTTGGACAAAACTCTTAAGATTTAGAATTAAATCAAAGCATTAACAAAAAAACCCTCAAAGTTCTAGTGACTCTTAAAGAAAGATCATATTTGCATGTCCAATAAATGATCGATCGTATTTCGAAATGTAAATCCTTTAAACAAAATAAAGGTTATTCGATGATAAAAAGAGCACAACTTTTGAAACTCTGATCATTACACACACACAAATGAATGATTGTTATAAAATGCTTGTTTTAAAGTTTAAATTATTGTTAAAAGTTTTGTCTTAAAACTATAAGTAGTTTATATATAAATGCATGCTATTTATTATTAAAGTATTAAGTATATATAAGTCTACAAAAGTTATAACAAACAACAAAACAAATTTGAAAATAAAAACACAAATACCAGCTCACTTGAAGAATATTATAAGAAAAAAAAGAAGAAAATAATGTCGTAGCTTTAGATGGATAAAGATGTACAAATTTTAGCTTACAAACATGCGACTCGGAAAAGAGTCTGCCTAAACAAAAATGCCTAATGGAGAGGTTCACTATATTTTTGAGAAAAGAATTAAGTGAGCAAAACTTTCCACATGGTCAATAAACAAAGCGGCTACGAGCCAGCAAAATCAAATGCCTAATGGAGGAGTTACACTATATTTTTGTAAAAAGAATTAAGTGAGCAAAACTTTCCAGATGGTCTAACAAAAGCAGCACAGAATGTGCTTAATACAAAAACAAAACAAAAAGATTTTTTAAGTTCCTTTTTTAGACACAAGAGTTATAAAACCATAATGAAACCTTAAGCCAGAAATGAAAGAAGAGCGAGTGAGAGAGATCTTAACTAGAAGAGCACGTTCCTAGTACCTGGCACTATAAACACCAGTCAGCTTTAACTATTCCAACGTTTTTTTTTCTTTTTGTGTGTTTTCTTTCTTGTTTTCTTGCTTCTTAACAACTTTTTTGTAGGATCATGTCTCAGTTGATCGGTGCCTGGACATGATTTTGTGATAAATGACGAAAAGCGCTTTAAACATTTACAGAGACAAAGAGAGAGAGAGAGACACAACTTTAATTTTGGGGGTGACAACTATTGTCAGAACTTTTCTTTTCTTCTTTCTTTCTTTTTTTGTTTGTTTTTTGTTCTACGTTTTCTTTCTTTTTTTTATATATATACAACTTTTTTTAGCTTTATGTCACAGTTGATCGGTGCCTGTGCATAATAAAAGTTCACAAATGATGTAAAAGCGAGTGAGAGAGTGAGAGACAATATATATGACTTGGGTGTTAGTTGAGAGCGGCGTTCTTTGCTAAAAGAGCGCCATACTGGACTTGGACTTTTTTTTTTTGTGTTTCTGTTTTCTTCTCGATTTTCTTTCTTTTTCTTCATTATTCAACTATGTTTTTAGCATTATGCAACAGTTGATCGGTGCCTGTGCATAATTATGTGTTGAGAGTGAAAGACAATATATAAAATGGGTTAATTTGGGCCAAGCTACGAGCGTACTTTGTAACATAGAGAGAGGGGACTATGCCTGAAGACGACTTGTTTTCCTTTTTCTTCTCGATTTTCTTTTTCTTTTTTTATTATTATTATTAAAATTTGTTTTAGCATTATGATACAGTTGATCGGTGCCTGTACATAATATGCATTTCTTGAACTCTCCTCTAAAAGAGTGGTATTGTGTTGTGCTGAGAAAGAGACTGAAGATAGACGAACAAGAAGAAGAAAAAGAGTGGCTTAACCAGAAGACACACAGACTCTGTTGGTTTCTGTTTTTGTTCTCTTTTTTGTGTTTTTTTATTTTTCTATTTCTTTAAAGACCCACAGAATAGTTATTTTTCTTAGCCTGCATACACAGTTGAACGGTGCCTGTGTATGAACTTAAAAAAAGAAGAGAGAGGGACAATCTCATAAACAGATTGCCTGAAATACCCAAGATCTTAACTGACAAACACAACTAATGATTGTGCAGAAGATTTCTACCCTACTAAAACCTTAGCTAGAGAGCAGCGACTACAGCCATTGTCGTTTTAAATAATAGCCTTTCTACAACAACAACTACAACGTTGCTTAAAATAATTAAAAGATAAACAACAGGTTATATATTTACATTTCAATTCCTCTTCGCTAATTACTACCATTTACAGGCATTTCTTTTTATCCTACAAAGCACAAAATATATTGAATTTTTTCATTTTCCTAATCACTACTTCAACACCCAACCACCCACCACCACGTACACTAAGTATCGGTATGCAACCATCTATCTACAAATATCGTTAAAGGGAATCTATACGATACAACAACTCAGCAGGGCTTCATAAAAATTAAAAAAATATATATATCAAACGCAAAACCATTAAATGTTTCTAAAAGGGAATCCAGAAACACGGCGCCCACTCTATTTTCTTTCTCTAAAACTTTTTTTCAAACCAGCTATTTTTCTCTTAATTATATGTTTTATAATAATTTCTAACAAAACAAAAGAAAAGTTAAGAAATTTTTTTTTTTAATTTTTACAATTTAGCAAAAGAAAAAATAAGAATGTTAAGATTTTATATATTATATTATAATTTTAACTAGAAAAACTTGTAAAAAACTGAAAAAAGAAAAAAACCAAATCAAATCAAATCCCCTCAAATGTTTTGTATCAAAAAATTTAAACAAATTATAAACAAATTTGTGCAAAATTTCCTACAGTTTATAATATGCCTATAGTTTTTAAATGAAACGTATTAACTTTGTTATACTTTTACCTTAAAAAAAATTTCAATAATTTTGTCATTAGTATGCTTTTTTTGTTATAAAATACTCTTACCAACTTCAAACAAAACAAAATCTTACAATAATCCTATAATATTTTTGACAATTGTCTTACTAGATTTATAGCTAGTTTAAAGAAAACTTTGTTAAATTAATTTTATTTAATTAATGATATGTAAAAGTATTTTCATTTTCTTGTTTAAAATTTCTTTGTAAAATAATTTTTTTTTTGTAATTTTTTAAAAACTATTTGTTGTAATTTTTAAAATTTTTTTTTATTAAATTACCTTAAATTTTGTAAAACAACTGCTGTGGGGAGTAAAACTCAACCGATCCTATATAAAAAAAACATATACAAACATTTGAGTGATTGAGAAGCGGATATCTGAACACACGAAAGAGCCAAGAGGGAGAGCCAACTGCCTTTTAGTTAAATACACACACAGGGTTTTGCGATTAAGAGCCAAGAAGAAGGGAATATATAAGCCAGGAGTTTAGTGTTTTCCGTTTTAAGCTATTGAGAGCGAGGAGAGTAAAAGAGGGAGAAGAGAGAGAGAGTTTACTTTTTTTATTAAAACATTTTCAAACTTCGTATATGAGAGTTCTAGAGGAGACAGCAATTAATCCAAATACAAAAAAGAAGCTGTTAACCAAGCGGCAGCCTAAATTAGTAACTGAAATCCTTTGATACCAAACACCAAGTGGTTTCTCTGTCATCAACATCCGGTGTCACTTTTAGTGGCCTAAACAGCAAATGCATCTCAGGCAAACTTTTAATATTGAAAATGTTTTACATTTTCCTACAAAAGCAATACAACTTCGTTGAAGATCTAACAATCTTTCAACAAACTCAATTTCCACAACAAGTGCAAATCTCAATCAACATCAAACATTAAACAACAGTTCTTCTTCAAACAACCAACTGAAGAAGAATGAATATCAGCTAATGATGCCTCCAAAATAAAAACAAAGTCTTTCAAAACTGCAGCAAACATTCTCAAGACTTTGGGTCTTCTACTACCACATAACTGCAAAATAGACTTTGGTCTTGTGAAATCTAAAATGCGTTTGGTCACATACAACTTCAAATCCCTTAAAAATCTATAAGAAAAGGCGCGCGGAACAACCTTTAAATCCTTAACGACACAAATTCCTTAACATCTGAGTTGTTGTACGGAAATCTTCACTTTAGAGAGAGAGAGAGAGCGAACGTTATATACATATAACATAGAGGGCTGTTAACACACTTCAAGTCTTTAACAATCTGTTTTTTTGCCAAACAAATTTAATCATCAATCATCACCAACACCATAATTATAACAACTTTTGCTAAAGAAACCAAAAAATCAAAAACTTCTATATCTAAACCAAACTTTTAACAAACGCTGAGTTCTTGTAAACACCTTGAGTCAAAACATCATTATATCATCAACATCGTTCGGTCCCAAAAGAGAACATTTGAACTAATGAAGAGGAAAGCTTGCTTTATATGATCTATTACAAAGCGATTGTCATCTTGATTACTAAATGAATATTGTTGTGGGACGACTTATGGACTCTAGATTTACTACTAAAATATCGAAACACCTTGATCTTTCAAATATCAAAAAACCTAAGGCTCAAAATATCCCCAGAAAGAGAGACTTTAACTTCCAATGACATTTCAACTTCAAAGAAAACCAAAAAACACACAAATCCACAACATCGTCCAACGTAAGAGGGACGACTTCGCTTTGAAATTAGAGATACTGTTATAAAAGAAAACAAACTATCAAACACCTTCATCTTGATTGCTTTTACGTTCAATCCTTGAGCTCTGTATTATATATCGAATCACAAACCATGAGTTTTTGTGGCAAGACGTCCACCACTCACTTTAGATGCTATATAGGACCACTATAATCCTTTCCTCTTCTATACGAATGCTACAACTACTATCACTACTAGATCCATCACCTTTTGCTTGTAAATCTTTATAATCCTGTGGGACCATGAAGTTATAATTCTCCACTACAAATGTTTTGTTGCTCGGCTTTCGAATGTCGTGTGTCCATCAGCCCTCCTATAGTTTTGAATAGCAACTGTTGAAAATTCTACTGGGAAGAATATCTATTCGTCTGCAGCGTTTACAACAAATTTATAACCACCTACAACAAACAACCAACCAATCAAACAACCTCAACATCAGCAGCGGTAACATCCTTTAAATATTTCCAAGTATTGACGGCAGCGTGGGACTTCCAAGTATTGACGGCGGCGAGGGACTTCCAAGTCTTGACGGCAGCGAGGGACTTCCAAGTCTTGACGGCAGCGTGGGACTTCCAAGCTTTGACGGCGGCGAGGGTCTTCTAGGAACTGGCGGACAGCGGGGATCATCCAAGTTTTGACGGCAGCGAGGGTCTTCTAGGTGCTGACGGCGGCGTGGGACTTCCATCACTGAAGGCAGCAGCGAGGGACATCAACTTGTTGAGGTGGCGAGGGTTTTTCCAGGTGCTGACAGCGGCGAGGGACTTCTTCGAAGTGTTGACGGCGGCGAGGGACATCTTAGGGTCATCGGGGCATGGCGCAGCGGTATCCAGGGTCGGCGTAGCGGTTCAATTCCTAGGGTCTTCGTTGTTTGGCAGGTTTCCGGTTAAGCTTTGTAGGGGTTTTTTCAAGTTTAGACTGCGGCGTGGGACTCCAAGTATTGACTGCGGCGAGGGATACCAAGTTTAGACTGCGGCGAGGGATACCAAGTATTGACTGCGGCGAGGGATACCAAGTGTTGACTGCAGCGAGGGATACCAAGTTTTGACGGCAGCGAGGGATACCAAGTTTTGACTGCGGCGAGGGATACCAAGTTTTGACTGCGGCGAGGGATACCAAGTATTGACTGCGGCGAGGGATACCAAGTTTTGACGGCAGCGAGGGATACCAAGTTTTGACGGCGGCGTGGGATACCAAGTTTTGACGGCGGCGTGGGAACCTAGGACTGCGGCGAGGGATCCTGTGGGCTGATTGTTTCCTTGTTACTTTTTTTTCCATCCATTTCACCCCTAAATACTTCTCACCAACATAAGGATGGTTTTTTTTCTACTGTATTTCAAACAAATTCAACTTCTAATATTTTGCTACAAACAAATTCACTTTATCTTCCATTCTGAAATTAGAGATTTTTCCCCAAATTTGACCTTTGAAATTGTGTAGAATTTGTATTTTAATAATCATTTTGATTTTTCATTAAAAAAACTATTAATTTTCACTTTAACACATTTTTTTGGTTTATAAAACAATAAAAATTGTTAATAAATTTTGTTATTTGAAAAAACTGAAAAAAAAAAATTATCGAAAAAAGAGTTTCAATTGCATTTAATAGACACCTTTTTAAATAGAAATATAAAACTAATTAATAAAATATTGAATAATTGAAAAAAATTTAAATGCAATGTCTTGTTATTTATATAAAATTGAAACATTTTTAATAAAATATTTAAATGAAAAGAATTTTTTTTAAAATGTGTTTTTTATTTATTTTGAAAATAAAATATAGAACTAAATATGATTTTGAAACTCAATAAAAGTTAAAATGTGATTGAAAAAATGAAATTATAAAAGTGTGTTTTTATTTTTAAAAGAAAAAATATTCGGTTTAACCGAATTTAGTTACAACAAAATATCGAATTTTTTGAAATCCCCTCAATCGGCTGTAGGTCTTAAATAGCATTCCTATTGAGAAATTATTTGCGATCAGTAATATTATCGGTTAAAAAGCGATATTTATATAACAAATCTAAAATCTGCGGTAGTGTTTCCTAAATTGAGAAAGTAATGATCTGTGATCATTTATATTATCGAACAAAAAACGATATTTATATATATAGAACCTAAAATCGGCTGTAGATCCTTAAAAAACGCTCCAATTGGGAAAATAGTGAAAATTTGTAAAAAAAAAAGTAAAAGCGTCTGTTGATCCTTAAATATATCCAATTAAGAAAATTGTGAAAATCTGCGATCACAAATATTTTCCATTAAAAATCGAAATTTATATAAGAAACATAAAGGGCTGTTGACCCTTAAAGCTGAAACGCTTCAATCGAGAAAATAGTATGACGAAAAGTGATCGCAGAAAAGATTACTTAAATCTCACAATCTTTATATGAAAAATCTGAAATCGGTTTGTTGATCATTAAAGCTACAATTGCGGAAATAGTGAAAATTTGCGATCACTTATATTAACAAAACGATTTTTATATGAAAACCCTAATATCGGCTGTAGAACCTTAAATAACTCATCAATTGTTAAAAATTTAAAAATCTGCGATCATTCAAAATCTATGATCACCTTATCTCACGATTTTCACATGAAAAATCTGAAATCGGTTTGTTGATCCTTAAATAAAGCTACAATTGCGGAAATAGCGAGAATTTGCGATCATTTATATTGTCAAATCGATTTTTATATTAAAACCCTAATATCGGCTGTAGAACCTTAAATAACTCATCAATTGTTAAAATTGTGAAAATCTCCGATCACTCAAGTTTTCCATAAAAAATCGACATTTATTATAAAAACCTTAAATCGGCTGTAGATCTTTAAATAACGCATCAATTGTTAAAATAGTGAAAATCAGCGATCATTCAAGTTTTCCATTAAAAGTCGACATTTATAATAAAAATCTAAAATCGGCTGTAGATCCTTAAATAACGCTGCAATTGACAAAATAGTGAAAATCTGTGATCACTTAAAATATCTATCAAAAATCGATGTTTATATGAAAAATCTAAAATCGGCTCTAGATACTTAAATAACGCCCCAATTGAATATCTGCGATCATTCATATTTTCCATCAAAAAACGATTTTTATATAAAAGTTTTTAATAAATTTAATTAAACAATATTATTGAATTTACAGTTAAAAGTTTACAGTAAAATTAAGTTCTAATTATTAACGACTACGAGTAAATATTCTAAAATTCTAATAAAATTTAAATATTACGCCAATGAGGCCAAGTCTTGATTTCATTATACAACTGAGTGCCGGGGCAAGAAGTAGCCTTAGTCTGACGATGACCCAATAAAGTATAACCATCCTTCAAATAACCATCACTAACAGCTTGAGCAATGAGGTCTTTAGCATTTTGCAACATTTGATCTGAAGGTTTGGTGTCTATAAGTAAAAGTTTGAATGTATAAGTATAAATAAATAAAAAGAAAAAACGCTTAATACTCACTTTCAAAATTACCCAAAAATACAATGCCAATACTATTGCGATTATAGTTGGGGGCATGAGAACCCTGCAGACCCCAACCACGACCCTCATAAACATTGCCATCGCCAGCAATAATGAAATTATAACCGATATCACTGAAATTACGACGACCCTTATGATCGGTTTGTATATTCTTAATCAATCTTTGGCAAGCACTTTCCGTCGAACAGCCATTGGGATTGTCGGAATGATGTATGATAACATAGTCTACAGCGCCACGTATGCGGGCGGGAGAACGGGCCGGGGCAGCACCCCAACTGCTGCGTGGCTTAATCGTAACACATAAGCAACCAGGTAAAACTATAATATTTAAAAAGTTTTCATTAAAATAATATTTTAATTTTTGTCAGTTTTTTCTTTTTTAACTTACCAACCGCTATTAAGGCTATAATTTTTAATAAATTTGCCATTTTATTATTATTTTTAAAAACTTGTGGTCTGTTGTATGTTTAGTTGAAATATGACTGTTCAGTTCTTCGTTTCAGTGGTTTTTATATGTAGAATATTTACGTCTCTTAATGATCTTTAGGTTCATTTGCTTATCTCTGTTGTTCTTTTTTTTTTTTTTGCTGTACGACAGGGGATTTACACTTTGTTTCATCTCAAACTAAACATATTGTTGCTATAAAGTTTTTGTTTGTTAATAATTTATTTAATCGTAGTACATACACACTCCTCAATACATACAAATTAAATTCATGTCCGTGTGTATATATTTCTACGGAAATTTGCACAAACTACAAAAAGAACTAAAAGGGATTTCCAAAAAATTTAACTATTTTCTAGATTTAAGAAAGTTTAAAAAAATAATGCTGTTTAATTATTAAAATTTAGAAAGTATTCAGGGAATTTACCACGTTCGTTAATTGCTTAATCGAATAATGCCGCTTTTACCTTTCTTCTTAAACAAATAACGATAAACCCTGATCTGGGAAAATGTTCACCCATGTATATCATAAGAAATCGGCTGTCGATCCTCAAATAACACCCCTAATTGAGCAACTAGTAAAAATCTGCGATCATATTTTCCATTAGAAATCGATTTTTATGAATATCGAATATCATATATACATATATGATAGATCCTAAAATCGGCTGTAGATCCTTAAATAATGCTCCAATTGACAAAGTAGTGAAAATCTGCGATCGCTCTTATTTTCCAACAAAAATCGATGTTTATATGAAAAATATCTAAAATCGGCTGTAGATCCTTTAATAGTGCCCCAATTCAGAAACTACTGAAAATCTGCGATCACTCATATTTTCCATCCAAAATCGATATTTATAATAAAAATCTAAAATCGGCTGTAGATCCTTTAATAACGCTTCAATTACGAAAATAGTGAAAATCTGCGATCACTCATATTTTTCACCAAAAATCGATAGTTATAATAAAAATATATAATCGGATGTAGAAACGTAAATTAACGCCCTAATTGAGAAACTAGTGAAAACCTACGATCATTCATATTTTTCATCAAAAATCGAAAAATATAAAATCGGCTGTAGAACCTTATATAACAATTCAATTAAGATCACTTATGTTATCATCAACAATCGATGTTTATAACAAAAATTTTAATCGGCTGTAGATCCTTAATTAATAAGACTTTAATTGATAAAAAAATGAAAATCGGCTGTAGAACCTTAAATAATGCTTCAATTGATAAAATAGTGCAAATAAGTGCGATCACTTATGTTATCCATCAAAAATCGAAATGAACAACTAGTGAAAATCTGTGGATCACTCATGTTATGCATAAAAAATCGATATTAAAAATAAACATTTTAAATCGGCTGCTGATTTTTAAATAACGCCCCAATTAAAAAGAGGGAAAATCCATCCTAAATCATTATTTTCCTGAAAAATCTAAACTACTGAAAATCTGCCATCATCTAAATCAGAAAGATTGAACTTCTAATTCTAACTTAATCAAAAACTTTGTACAATTTCAATCTATATATATAAAAATGAATGTGTGTTTGTATGTTTGTTGGGACTTTATAGGCTGCTAAACGGCTGGAGCGATCTTCCTGAAATTGTCACAGTGTCTTCCTGTATGTCTGGAAGGAACTATAGGCTACCTTTTGTTTTGGAATTTCAAGTAGGCGAAGTGCCACGCCCACATACAAAGTTAGTCTTAAAACAGCTAGAGGCCTAAAATTTTTTACGAACAACTTTGACATTCATAAGAAAATTTGTGGACAAAATGGGCGGAATAGCTATAGTGGGCGTGGCACCTTACATATTAAGAAAATATTAAATCACTATATCTAAGAAAATATAACAGTTAGAGTCCTCAAATTTTGTCGGAGCCACATTAGTGTCAATATGATTATTTAGGGCAAAAAGTGGGCAGACTAGCATTAGAGGGCGTGGCTCCTCCTATATAAATTAAATACAAGAATTCGTTTATCTTGGAAATTATTAGGATTAGAATCTTCAAATTTTGCATGAATAACCGTAACATCCATGTAAACATTTTGGGTAATAAATTGGCGAACTACCAGTGGGGGGAACGGCACCTCCCACATGAATTAAATACAAAAATTCGTTTATCTGGGAAATTAATAGAACTAGATACTTAAACATTTTCACGTAGAACTTTAATATTCATCTAAACATTTTGGGGACAAATGGGCGGACTTTCATCAAGGGGGGCTTGAGGCCACCACCATATGAATTAAATAGAAAAATTTTTATATCTGAGAAACTATTAGAGCTAGAATCTTCAAATTTTACACGAAGAACTTTGACATTCATGTGAACATTTATAGAAAAATGGGCGGACTTTCAATGGGGAAATTGGAAATTGGCATCTCATTGTATATGTATATGAAAAACTATTATAGTTAGAATCTTCAAAATCGTTAAGTGGGTTTTTTATATATATATTGCTTTTAGGTTAGCAAAGCACCCTGGGTATAGCTAGTTCCAAATAAAACACAATTTTCACAAACACATTTTTTTCCAATCTTAAATAATTTTACTGAAATTTTATTCATGTTCAATATTTTTTTCTTCTTGTTGTTGTTTTTGTTTAAATATATTATATGTATATAATGTGTATGTATGTCGTTTGTTTTTTTATTACTTATATATTTTACAATTACTGTATTTTTTTCTCAATATTATTTTTAATATTTTACTTTTTAAATCTTGACAAATTTTCTTTTTCGTTTTACTATTTTGTGTTCTTTCAAAACAAAACTCAAAGAAAAGTATTTTGTTTTAAAAGTTATTTTAAATTTAAAACTAAAATTAATTAAACAAGAAAGTTTTTTTTAAATACTTTTTATAAATTAATTTTGTTTTAATATTTAATAATATTATATTTATATATATTTATATTATAATTGTATATACATGGTTTTTGGTTTATTAATTTTTTAGTTAATTTTTTTTTGTATAAGCTTAAAAAATCATAATTTTATTTTTAAAAATTTAATTTAAGGACATTTAATATTATATTTTTAATAATATTTGTAAACGTTTTATAGAAAAGTGTGTGCAATTAATGCTAAGTTTATTTTTAGTTTATGTATAGGGAAGCTTTGTGGGATTAAGGATCAACAAAAATTCGAACTCGAACAGAACTAGAATTGAACTTTGAACCAGAACATAACTAGAACAGAACTTTGAACTAGAACAGAACTTTATACTAGAAGAGAACTAGAACAGAGCTTTGAACTAGAAGAGAACTAGAACAGAACTTTGAGCTAGAAGAGAACTAGAACAGAACTAGAACAGAGCCAAAACAGAACCAGAACAGAACTAGAACAGAACAGAACTAGAACAGAACTAGAACAGAACTAGAACAGAACTAGAACAGAACCAGAACAGAACTAGAACAGAACAGAACAGAACTAGAACAGAACTAGAACAGAACTAGAACAGAACTAGAACAGAACAGAACTAGAACAGAACTAGAACAGAACTAGAACAGAACTAGAACTAGAACAGAACTAGAACAGAACTAGAACTGAACTTGAACTTGAACTTGAACTAGAACTGAACTAGAACTGAACTAGAACTGAACTTGAACTAGAACTGAACTAGAACTGAACTAAAACTGAACTAGAACTGAACTAGAACTGAACTAGAACTGAACTAGAACTGAACTAGAACTGAACTAGAACTGAACTAGAACTGAACTAGAACTGAACTAGAACTGAACTAGAACTGAACTAGAACAGAACTAGAACAGAACTAGAACAGAACTAGAACAGAACTAGAACAGAACTAGAACAGAACTAGAACAGAACTAGAACAGAACTAGAACAGAACTAGAACAGAACTAGAACAGAACTAGAACAGAACTAGAACAGAACTAGAACAGAACTAGAACAGAACTAGAACAGAACTAGAACAGAACTAGAACAGAACTAGAACAGAACTAGAACAGAACTAGAACAGAACTAGAACACAACTAGAACAGAACTAGAACAGAACTAGAACAGAACTAGAACAGAACTAGAACAGAACTAGAACACAACTAGAACAGAACTAGAACAGAACTAGAACAGAACTAGAACAGAACTAGAACAGAACTAGAACAGAACTAGAACAGAACTAGAACAGAACTAGAACAGAACTAGAACAGAACTAGAACAGAACTAGAACAGAACAGAACTAGAACAGAACTAGAACAGAACAGAACTAGAACAGAACTAGAACAGAACTAGAACAGAACTAGAACAGAACTAGAACAGAACTAGAACAGAACTAGAACAGAACAGAACTAGAACAGAATTAGAACTGAACTAGAACTGAACTAGAACTGAACTTGAACTAGAACTGAACTAGAACTGAACTGGAACTGAACTAGAACTGAGAACTAGAACTGAACTAGAACTGAACTAGAACTGAACTAGAACTGAACTAGAACTGAACTAGAACTGAACTAGAACTGAACTAGAACTGAACTAGAACTGAACTAGAACTGAACTAGAACTGAACTAGAACTGAACTAGAACTGAACTAGAACTAGAACTGAACTGAACTAGAACTGAACTAGAACTGAACTAGAACTGAACTAGAACTGAACTAGAACTGAACTAGAACTGAACTAGAACTGAACTAGAACTGAACTAGAACTGAACTGGAACTGAACTAGAACTGAACTAGAACTAGAACTGAACTAGAACTGAACTAGAACTGAACTAGAACTGAACTAGAACTGGACTAGAACTGAACTAGAAGTGAACTGGATCTGAACTAGAACTGAACCACTTCTGCCCTTCAACTAAACTACAAATATACTAAAAGCAATAGAATTTAATTGAACCAATTAAAAGTAAGAATTGTGTTTACTTTAATATATACGAAAGTTCTGAGTTTTGTTTATGCTTTTAATTATTTTTTTCTTGCTAATATTTGGTTAATATTTTATTATATTTCAAATAATTCTTTTGTTTTTGTTTTAACCATTAATTAGTCACGAGCATTTACGCGAGCTTTTTTTTTATAATTAAATGTCAATTAACAATTTAATTATTTGTTTTCATAA